CCCCAAAACCCCAAAACCCCAAAACCCCAAAACCCCAGGACATAAACTTAATATTGATTTCTATTATATAACCTTAATAATAATTTTCCAATATGGAAGGAGCCACACTCAAGAAAGAGACTATTGAAACCAAGCATGAGGAGTTCATCCACGATGTTGCCTTTGATTTCTATGGGGACAGAGTTGCCACTTGCTCTTCTGACTTCTCCATCTGCATATTTGGAAGCTCTGATGGGGGTGATAAGACTAAACTTAGTGGGCATATCAAGTCTCATGAAGGACCTGTCTGGAGAATCAGTAGGGGAAATTTAGTAATATTGTATAGGATGGGCAGACCCGATTTTTGGACCACTATTAGTAACTTGATCAGCAGACAAAACCATAAAATTCTTCTCAGAGGAAACAAATATCCCAGGAGTTGATAGTAGATGGAATGTTGAGCACACATTTACTCAACTTAAAGAATGATCAGATATTAAATTTGCACCTAAACGATTCGGATTCAAACTCGCTGCTGTACAAAGAGATGCTCCAGGCCAATTGATCGTGTTTGCACCAGGAAGTAGGACTAATCTAGATACGTGAAGCATCAAAGCTCAAATTAAGGTTAGTGATTTTGGATCAAACTGACTTGATTGGGAACCTGAAGGCATAGATAATGGAGAAATGATTGTTGTTGGTTCAAATACTGAGACTGATGAACAACTAGGTAGAAAACCTCTCCCTATCAATGAAAATGAGAAGACAGAAGAAGTTACTGGTGAGGAGCTTCGTATTTTTGGAATTTCAGGAGCAAAGATAACTCCCATTATTAACCTACACTCCTCGAAGGGTCACAATGGATCTATCAAAGATGTTGCATGGGCTCCTCAAAATGGAAAGACATATCACACAATTGGTATTTGATTTTCAATAAGCTTTAGCATCTTGAGCTGATGACTCCAAAGTAATCATCTGGAGGTTTGACACAGGTAATTTCTCTCAAAACAACTAAATAGGCAATGATGAAGGCAACTTTGGATCTAAATAAAAGCAAAAATGAGTGCAAATTCTCAATTTCAAAAATAGTAGACTTCGAATCAGATGAGATTTGGAGAATAAAATGGAACATCACAGGAGTCAAGCTCATAGGAGTAAACTTTGAACTCTCATTTCTCATAGATCAGCAATACAGCAGACGAGACTCTCAAATCAATCGTGTAGAAAGGTAAAGATAGTTTAAATACTCGCAAGTCAGTAACAAGGTTGTAAAATTCTCACATAAAATTGTGTTATTAAGTTCTTCTCATGCTTTCTTAGGAGATTGAAATAACAGATAAGATGTTTGATTTCCGGGATCCTCCATCTTCTGATATTTCCAATATCGCAAGATAAATTTGGGGTTTTGGGGTTTTGGGGTTTTGGGGTTTTGGGG